AAAATATTTTAAACACTCTTATTACAGTCGATGAAATTGAAAATGTAATTCAAAATACCAACAAACAAAGGCCCAGGTCCTGATGGATTCACTGCTGAAATTTACAAGACATTTAGAGAAGAACTACTGCATTACCCTTCAGACTTTTCAATGAAATTGAAAGGAAAGCAATACTTCCAAATTCATTCCTGGAAGCAAGTATCACTTTGATTCCCAAACCAGAGAAAGATGCAAGTGAAAAAAAGAACTACAGGCCAATCTCCTTAATGAATATAGATGCAAAAATCCTCAATAAGATACTAGCAAACAGGATACAGAGGATCATCAAGAAGATCAAACATCCTGACCAAGTTGGATTTATTCCAGGGATGCAAGGATGGTTCAACATACATAAATCAATACATGTAATACACTATATTTACAAAGTCAAGGACAAGAAGCACATGATCCTCTCAACAGATGCAGAAAAAGCATTTGACAAAATTCAACACCCATTCATTATAAAAACCTTGCAAAAAATTGGAATACATGGTTTATATCTCAAATTAATAAAGGCTATCTATGAAAAACCAACAGCCAACATCATATTAAATGGCAAAAAACTGAAAACCTTCACATTAAAATCAGGAACAAGACAAGGATGCCTACTATCACCACTCCTCTTTGATACAGTTCTGGAAGCATTAGCCATAGCAATTAGACAAGAGAAAGAAATTAAAGCAATAAAGATAGGAAAGGAAGAAGTTAAATTGATATTATTTGCTGATGATGTGATACTCTACATTGAAGACTGAAAAAACTCCACCAAAAGACTTCTTGACTTAATTGACACTTTTAGCAGAGTAGCTGGATACTATGTCAACATCCAAAAATCAATAGCCTCCTTATACACAAATAACAGACTAACTGAAGGAGAAATCAGGGAAACAATTCTTTTCACAGTCGCACCCAAAGAAAATGGAGAATCTAGGAATCAACCTAACAAAAGAAACAAAAGACCTCTACACTGAAAACTACAGAACTCTGAAAAAAGAGATTGAAAAGGATAAAGGAAAATGGAAAGATATCCCCTCCTCCTGGGTAGGAAGAATCAACATAGTGAAAATGGCCGTACTACCAAAACTGCTATACAGATTCAATGCAATGCCAATTGAAATTCCAACACTATACTTCACAGAACTAGAAAGAAGAATCCAAAAATTCATTTGGAACCATAAGAGACCTAGAATAGCAAAAGACATCCTCGGCAACAGACACATGGCAGTGGGTATAACAATTCCCAATCTGAAATTATACTACAAAGCCACTGTGATAAAAAACAGCATGGTACTGGCAAAGAAACAGACATGAGGATCAGTGGACAAGACTGGAAGACACAAAAACAATTCCAGATGTACTCAGCTACCTCATCTATGACAAAGGAGCTGACGATCCCCACAGGAGGAAAGATAGCCTCTTTAATAAATGATGTTGGAAAAACTGGATTTCATCCTACCAAAGATTAAAACTAGACCCTTATCTTTTACCATGCACTAAATTAAAATCAAAGTGGATTAAAGATCTAAATATTAAAGCAGAAACACTAAACATGCTGGAAGATAAATTAGGCAGAACTCTTGAAGACAATGGCATTGGAAAAGACTTTATGAACAAATCCTCAGTAGCATGGGAACTAGCAGAAAGAATCAACAAGTGGTACCTCATCTTATTGAAAAGCTTCTGCACTACAAAAGAAACCATCACCAGAACTAAGAGACAACCTACAATGTGGGAAAAAAATTTTTACCAGCTGCTCCTCAGACCAAGGAATATATAAAGAACTCAAAACAATCAGCTCTGCCAAATATAAAGACCCAATTCAAAAATGGGCATCTGAAATGAACAGACATTTCTCAGACAAAGAAATAAAAGCAGCAAGTAAATATATGAAAAAATGTTCCACATCACTGGTCATTTGAGAGATGCAGATGAAAACAACACTGAGATTTCACCTCACCCCACAAAGAGTAGCTGCTGCCAAGGAATCACACAATATCAAATGTTGGCGGGGTTGTGGGGAGAAAGGAACACTTTTCAATTGTTGGTAGGAATGCAGACTGGTACAACCACTATGGAAATCAATATAGAGATACCTCAAAGAGCTAGGTCTAGAGGTTCCATTTGACCCAGCCACCCCTCTGCTGGGCATCTTTCCAAAAGATTTAAAATAATCATACCACAGTGATATAGGTGCACCCATGTTTATAGCGGCACAGTTTGTAATAGCTAAAACTTGGAAATATCCCACCTGCCCATCAGTTGGAAACTTGATAAAGAAAATATGGTTTTTCTATAAAATGGAATACTACTCAGCCATAAAGAATGAGAAAGTAGATTCATTCATAGGTAAATGGGTACACTTTGAGGATATACTCCTAAGTGAAATAAATAAGTCACACATGTGTAAATACCGAATAGTTTCTCTGGTGTGAAAAACTAAAATAGTACTCAAAGTCCTAACAGGTTAATTAGCAATGTGAAACAGGAAGATGGAGGGACAGTGAGAACGGTAGGGGAAGGGGAATATGGAAAGGGAAAAAAGTATGAGAAAATGTAAAAATGGAATTAAAGTCTTTGTAAGTGGGGAGGGGAAGAGGGGGTGAAGGGAGGGTGGGGACAAGGGGATAAATGAGAACCAAGACCTGTCATATAAAGGCACAAGATCCCAGTAATGAATGTAACTGTACTCTCTACCTAGAATGTACCAATAAATTCAATTAAAATTTTTTTTAAAAGAGAGAGAAATGATAATATGAATAAAAACTCTAAAATGTTATTACTGTAGTTTATTCATTTCAATTATATTAAACCATACAGGAAATTATCTGTAATGAAAAGAAATATATGCAAGAATTTTAAAGGCAGAGCAAAATATTAATGAAAATCTACATACCTAACAACAGAAAAAAATAGGAACAATGATATGGTCATAATGTAATATTATACATATATTAAAATTAGACATGTATTTTTAAATTTTCATTTATTTTTATTTTATGACACTGTGGATTGAACAGACATGTATTTTTAAACTGTACATTCTATTTAATGAGATAATTCTCAGAATACAGTATTAATCACAAAATAAGAAATAGTATGGAGATCAAAAAAATCCCAATATTCTAAGTATATATTTATATTTAGGAATATAAAAACGGGGGGGAGAAAGGGGACATAAAAATATCAGGATGTGTTATGTACATGTACAACTCCCTATAATGAATATGATCACTATGCACTGCAAACATGAACTAATAAAAATAAAATATGTATCTTTTTACCCAACAAAATTCTTACATAAATATACCAAAATATTGCTAGGAATTATCTCCATTTTAAAATTTTATAATTTATTTCCATTTTCTTATTTCTAATTTCCATAAAATTTTATGACAAAATCATGTTCTTGTAATTAAAGTAAAAATATTTTTACCTGTGTTAAATGAAAACAGTCTTTTTAAGATGAGAGCTGTATTTACTGATAACCAATTTAGATTTATCCATAATGAGTTTAGACTGAATTATAACTTTAACAAACTTAAACAAGAGGATTAATTTATCAACTACTAACAAAGTTGTGTAGAGGATAGGAATAAAATGAATGTTCCAGACAGATGGAAACAATTGCTGAAATACTGTCAAGTCTCTGTCTTTTACTCCTATGTCTTTATATATCCTATCTTTTTTTCATTATACCATATTAGACTTATGAAAGCAAAAAATATTGCCAGAAGGGTCAACATGTCACAGCTCCAAAAGGCAATGTGGCTTGCTTTCTCTCCATTCTTAAGTTCAGTGTCCTAAGAAAAATCTTAGACTGGTCCATCTTCATCAGATATTCAGGCCTGAACCACTTAACTATAACAGGAGATATGTCACTATGACTTATTCAGAAGCCCAATATTTGACCAATGAGTAGAAAGAGAAGGATAGGATCTACGGAAGATGTCATTTTCCAACCATAAAACATGATCACTTTAAGAGACAGGTAAATTTGCCAGAGGAGTGTCATTGCTGATTTGGACAGATAACAGCATAGCTATACACAAAAAGCAGTTATTTCTTTAGATAATATAGTCATATATGAAAATACTACCAAACTAAAAACTTAGACAGCAATGACTCAAAACAAACAAATTCAACAAGAATATTCTGTCATCAGAAGGAAAAGGGACACCTGGCTATCTACTTAAGGAAATAATAATGTCCCTTTAAGAAGTTTTGCCTGAAGCAAAATGCAAGTAAAACTCAAGAAGTAGCCTTGTGTTGACCACCCAGAACTGTCCAAACAGATGGCCTGAACTAAGATTTCTACCTTACTGTTGTGATGGCATAAATATATAAAATTTGATATCATTAAATATTTGAAGAATCCAGTTAATTCCTTCTGTTTAGGTTCCCTGCTCAGAATTACCCCCATCATCACTTAACTTCCCAGAAACTATAAGAGAAACTGAGTTGGACCTAAGCCAAAATCCAGGCCACATGACAGATACTCTGTGATAAACTAATAAACTAACATCTTGATATATATGATTCTATCTACTATCGATTAATTTAAGTATTCCTTTGTATAACTACTCTGTGACACTGAAGATACTCGATTTTAAAGTCTTGATCATAGAAATTTCACCAAAGGAACATTTCATGAGAAACAGGCAATGGACCTTCTCCTGGTAATATTTTTTTTTCTCCATCATATGACTCTTCCAAATGTAAGTAGCAACAAAATTTCTCAATTAAGATTTCAAAGCCAGGTGTGGTGGTGCTGCCTATAATCCCAGTACTCTGGGAGGCCGGAGCAAGAGGAGGACAAGTTTGAGCACAGGATATTCGAAAAGAACAATGTTATTTTTAATCAGGGACACCTAAATATCAGAATGGTAGTCAGAAACTCCAGGCATAAAATCAATTTGAAGTTACTACAGATCAGTAAGAAAGCTTCCTAACATTTTGGTCATTTAAGAAATGCTTCTATTCACAATAAATTGGCTGCATACTCTCTTCATTGCCACCTTCATTTCTTTATTCCTGAATGTATAGATGAATGGATTCAAAAAAGGAGTGAAAGTTGCATCAAAAAAGGCAAGAAATTTGTCTACGTGTGATGTAGGATAAGGCCAGGTGTAAACAAAGATACATGGACCAAAGAACAAAATCACCACCATGATATGAGTTGAAAGAGTAGACAGGGCCTTGGATGAGCCAAGTGAAGAGTGTTTGCAAACTGTGATTACAATAAAAACATAGGAGACAACCAATATGAAGAATGATCCCAGTGATATAAATCCACTGTTGACCGTGACCATGAATTCCATTTGGTAGGTGTCTGTGCAGGCAAGTTTGATGAACCGAGGAAGGTCACAGTAAAAGCTGTCCAACACATTAGGGCCACAGAATGGCAATTTTATAACAAAAACCAGTTGAATTACAGAGTGGATCAAGCCAATTATCCATGCAGCAACCAGAAGTAAAATACACAGTTTTTGATTCATAATAGTCAAGTAGTGAAGAGGCTTACAGATAGCAATATATCTGTCAAAGGCCATAGCTATGAGTAGCACCATCTCTACAGCACCAATGACATGGATGAAAAATATTTGAGTGACACAGCCTCTAAATGAGATATGCTTGTGCTTTTTAAAGAGATCATAAATCATCTTGGGGCAAATGACAGAAGAAACACCCAAGTCAATGAAGGAGAGGTTGGCCAACAGAAAGTACATGGGGGAGTGCAAGTGAGGGTCCGAAGCCACTGTGAACACAATGAGGGAGTTTCCCATCATGCTTGCCACATAAAACATGGATGCTACCACAAAAAGGAGAAGCTGAATTGCCCAGGAATTCGTGAGTCCCAGGAAAACAAACTCTGACACAACCGAGTGGTTCACTCCATCCATTGATTTATCAGCTACAGTAACTCCAACATTACCAGATGAAAAAAAAAAATGAAGAAGAAAGAAAAACAAGAATGATATTAATGCTCTGCTAGGCTTGTCTATCCCACGGCCTGCAGGCCACTTGCCCAGGCAAACCAAAAGGATGAACACACCTACCTAGATTAGATGATTAATTGTTCAAAAGAGTATTTCTTAAATTTCTTCCCGGGACCATTTAATTGCTAAACAAGTATCTTATCTAAAACAGATGAATCAACTCTGCATGTAATATCCCTGTTGCTATGACCTCCAGGGGAGTATTCTCCACCTATAAATAAGATAAGGAACAAATATTAATACGTAACACAAATTGGCAGGATTAAAGAGGGCAGGGAAGGTGGCATGGAAAAAAGAAAAAGCAGAGACAGAGATGATTTCACTTCCCAGAACAATTTTTAAATTGTTCATGGAACAATTCTTCAGTCTTTGAAGTTATCTCTCAACCTCACCTCATATCAGGGACTATAATATGGCTCTTGCAAGTCATTCTCACACTACTGCCTACATTCAGATCACTTCACACAAAGCCCATGGCATAAGGATGAGCATAAAAGAGCCCAGTATATGACATAGATGTAGCTCAAAGATATGACAGGACCAAGGCAGAATATACATTGATGCCACAGGATGTTTGCACAAGCTCCAAGAATTATAATTAGGACTTAGTAGAATGATTATCAGCTAGGATTTGCCCAAGATATTTAACAAAGAGGACTTTTAGGGAGGTTAGAAAAGTCAATTTGATATACAGTAGTATTCCTTCCCATTATCTTCAGGGGAAACATTCTAGGACCTACAGAACTTCATATATGTTTTTCCTATATATACACTCCTATGCTAAAATTTAATCTATAAAAAGACAAGGTGAGAGACTAACAAAAATAATAATAAAATAGAACAACTATAATAATATACTGTAATGAAAACTGGCAGCATCACTACTCTTGTATCTTTGATACTCTTGTACTATTATTAAGCAAAATAAGCATTACTTTAGCATAAGCCTCAAAATACTACGACAGTTGATCACATACCTGAGACTAATACTAATGACTAATCAGTGAGTAGCACCAGACAGTGGGGATGTACTGGATAAAAGGATGATTTGATTCACACCCCAGGTAGAATGGAGCTGGATTACATGAGATTTTACCATGTTTCTCATAAGAGTACACTGCTTAAAATTTATGAATTGCTTATTTATGAATTTTTTCATTTCAGGTTTTCAGAATGCTATTGATTCTCTGTAACTGAAAGCATGGAATAAGAAACTATGGATAAGGGAGATAGTACTGTGTCCAAATTCTTCCCTTAGGTTTATAACTTTGATTATAGTTGTTGGAACTGAAAGGTTTTAGAGTTTGCTAGGGATAAAGGAATGTATAATAATATTATTGTTGATATACTGTATATTCACTGGCCTTCTCCTACCTCTTCATTTCTATTGATTTGCACCTTTTTATCTATCTTATCTCATATCTAAACTCTTGCAGATGACTGGTATTCAGGGAAAGTCTGAGTGTTTCCTAATTCTAATCCTAATCTAGTACGGGGTCTCCCTGATTCTTACACAACAGATATACACTGCTAACACTGTGGAAGATAAATCTCCTGCAGGTGGGTTAAGTTCTTTCCTGTCTCGAGATTTTCTGTTCCCATAGTACTTAAGCATGCTCCAGAAAGACAGAGTAAATTAAGAAAATAGAGAAGTTGAAGCTTACATGTTTAAAGGGCTGGAAAAATAAGAGAACATGAATGCACAAAAAAACTCAGACCTGAAACTAAAAGAGAAAGAGAAATCCAACAATAGAAAACCAATGGAAGATAAAACTTTCCCTTTTAATATGTGTATTTATTTAGACACACATACTAGATACATATCCACACATCTTTTTGACATGAGTGAAATCATTCATTACACTGTTATCACACGAATTTCATTAGAAATTGTTTGTCCAAGTTCATCAACTGTTGTACAACTAATAGCTATCCAAATAAGGACACAGATGCTCCTTGGCTTACAGTGAGGTTATTTTCTCATAGATTCATCAGAATTTGGAAGTACCAGGTCAAATATGCACTTACAACACCTAACCTATAAAACACCATAGCTTAGAGACATATGGGCTGCTTACCCTCATGACCACGTGGAGGATTGGGAGATGTGGCTCACTGCCACTGCCCACCATCACAGGGGAGTATTGTACACATATCACCAGCCCAAGAAAAGATCAAAATTAGAAATTCACAAGAGATAAGACAGTCCAAACCTGGCTTAGCTCTAGATCTGCTCAGTCCAAAACAATAGTCACTAATCATATATGGCACTGAAATGAAATAAAAAATCTATTTAGTCAGTTGCACTAGTCATATTTCAAGGCTCTAGCTATGTATAGTGATTATGCATTGGACAGTGTGATACAGAGCATGTCCTGTCACTATTCATCCTTCTAAAGTAAATCAAAATTTCACTTCCACCGTGAAAGTTTCCTAGTACACCTATTTCATAATAATCTCTTCCTCTCTTACTCATACAAATCAAGAAACTTTAAATTTAATTGTACAGAGAAACTGAAAGTGTAAGTAAGGACTAAAAGTTATAATAGATAATGTGAAATAGGAAAGAGACAAAAGGGAAATGGGAGGGGTAGGGGAAAGGAAAGAAGGGAATGGAATTAATATGAGAAAATGAAAAAAATGGAAACAAACTCTTTGTAAATAGGGAGGGATAGAGGGGTTCAAGGGAGGGCAGGGGAATGGGGAAAATATAAGAACCAAGATAGATCATGTAAAGGTGCAAATTTCCAATGATGAATATCATTATATTGTATACCTAAAATGTACCAATGAAATTAATTTTTAAAAATAATTAATTGTAAAATAATTCTCCACCTAAAAATATAAATCACAATACATAGCAACATATGTGGGGCGATCAAAAACTATGGTGAATGTTGAGTTTTTCATTATTACACTAACAGATCACCATTAATTCCCCTCAAAATACTGTCTCTTGCTTTGAATATACTCATCATTCTTGCCAGTGCCTGAAGCAGTTATGAAGTCCTCTTTCCTGAGTGTCTTTCCATGTCTGCTTCAATGTCCTGAATTGATTCAAAATGTTTATGACAATTTGTGCCAAATTAAAACATTCCTCATCCACCTTAGTCACCAGATCTGGCACCACATGACTTCTGGCTGTTCACCAAAGTCAAATAATCATGCGAGGTAAATACTGTCACTTGATTCAGTGAACTGGGGCAGCCATAACAGCCCATAATGGTTTCATGCAAACATTCATGAAAGAGGACTTCCAGAACTGCCTCAGAAAATGACAAGAACAATGAGATAAGTGTGTTTGGAGTAGGACAAAGTATTTTGAAGGGGGTTAATTGCAGTTTGTCTTTTAATGCAATTTTGTATTAAACATTCACCATATTTTGTTTCAGATATTTGTTTTTGATGAGGAAAGATGCACTGGGAAAGTCAGAGCAAGAATTACAAAGATGAAAAGACTTAGTGTGAATGTTGAAAACTTACCAGGAGTTTTGTAAAATGGGAGGAGAAAGTATTCTGATAAAATATAACAACCAGAACTTTTTAGACCAAGTAATTTGTTACTAATTAAAATTCTTCAATGGTTTCATTTTTATACACTCCTCCCAAACATATTGAAAGTTTGAGAATGGTTGACAACTCTTTCTCCAGAGTGAGATAAATAGCACAGTTCCCTTGTTTACTTAGTTAACAATGCTTCTCTGAGGTAGAGCTATGTTGTTAGGTCCCTAATTTTGCACAATTTTTGTTTTTCTAATCTACCATCTTTTCTCATTTAACCTAACATGCACAACTGAAGTTTCCAAATCCAAGACTGAGCATTAACACACTCCCAAAAGAAGAAAGCCTAATAGTCCTGTTATAAATTTCCTTCTGGGAAACAAGAAGCCTCAACTCAGTTTGTGAATTTTCATGGTTTAATTTCATGAAGATTTAGAAACCAACAAGTAACCTATAACAGGAAAGAGAGAACAGAGAGAAAGATATGAAAGCAGTAGAACAAGGAACTTACTGAGTTTCCAACTTCCAGGCCTTACTTGCCATTTCTAAAAAAAAATAAAAAGAGGTGTTTTTCACCACATTTTAAATATTTCTAAAATAATCAATGATCAATTTCAGAGCCAGGAAAGGATACATTATTTTCATGAGATACCATATTTATGAAGTACTTTTACATCGTTGGGTGGGTATGTCACATAGTAGAATTATTTTCATTTATAGGTGAGGAATTTCAAATAAAAAGTAAGTACAACTTACATATAATTACTACCAGTTAAGAAGATGAGGGATAGGCTAATGATGATTAAAATGGAAAAGAATCAAAACAGACCATAATTTGGGTGCCTATAAAATATTCAGCAAAGTTAGGAAACTATTCATAAAAAGTCATAGAAGCAAGAAAAATCAAAGCTGGAATGTAAATAAATCTACAAGTCATTTAAAATTTGTAGTCATAAGAAAATTTTTCTTAAACTATAACATTTAAGAGATTTTAAAAGTTAAAGGAATCAAAACCACAATGTATATATAGTATTTATTATCACAATCATCATACTACTACTTTACACATTACAAATGTATAAAAAAGCCCAGTTTTTATACAGTGCAACAGAGAACGGGAGAAAGGAATGCTAAAGAAATAAAGAATTGCCCTTGCTTTTTTGTACACGCTACAGAGAGGTCAGAAGGAAAAAACAAAAGGGCATGAATTTAGTACTTGAGACTTATTCATGTCATTAAAGTAGCAGCTGTAATCAAATAATAAGGGAAGAATCAAGATGGTGGGGATGTAAATAATCGTGACAGAAATAGAAGATTAGAAATAAGATATAACTTCAATAACACGAGGGAAAAAGTTGAGAGGAAATATGGAAAAATAGATAACAGAATATGAGTAGAAAATT